CTCCCTACCCACCCATCCTCCCCAGTCCCTTTCCCTTTGGTACCTGTTAGTCCATTCTTGGGTTCTGTGATTCCGCTGCTGTTTTGTTCCTTCAGTTTTTCCTTTGTTCTTATATTGAGTGCATTTCTTAATTTCTCTGGCCCATAAATCCCTTAGCTGGCATTACCACATTGCTTGGCTGTAATGAGTATTAGACAGTTACAATGCCTGGCATGTAGGAGTGCGGTTGAATGAGTGATGCTTCTTTCTCTCATAAACAAGCTAATGTATATTTCCTATGTGTAGGTAGTAGAGATTATGGCAACATTTACTGTGTGATAGTTCTCTTAAGCCCATTTTTCAGGTGTAAAGTTGAGGTTCAGGGAGGTGAAATACATTGCCAAAGGTCACAGAGAAGGCAAGTGAGAGAGACAAGAATCAGGTAAATGCCCATGTGTCTCCCAGCCACAGCTTGGGCAAAGAGTGCCCTTTTATCCTACTCACAGGTCAGACAGACCAAGGCAGTGTGGACATACAGCTCTACAAACAGTGCCCAGCTCTCTGACACCTGTGAGATCAGGAAGGGGATGATGATCTCAGTTGGGACATGGAACTGGGGAGCACAGGTGAAGAAGATGCCAAGAGAGTACATCAGCTTGACTGACTGGTACAGCCTGCAGAGACACAGATAGGATGTGAAATTTGATGTGGTTCTTGGGCAGGGCCTTTCTAACCTGGCTCTCCTCATTGAGTTAGAGAGCTGGCCCACTTCCACTGACTTCAGTCCTGACCAGCCTTCAGGGCTGCCTGGAAACTTTACTGAAAGTGCAAATTCCTGGAGGTTCTGATTCAGTAGGCCTGTGGCTCAGGAATCTGTGCCTTTTTAAGAAAGACATATCTGCACAGAGTAAAATTCATAGTACAAAAATCACACAGTGAAAACCTTCTCTCCCACCCTTAATTCCTAGTCTCTAGTTCTGCTTTCCATTGGCAACCCCTCTAACAGTTTCCCTGTAGCCCTTCCAGAAATAATCAGTGTATACAGAATGTAGGTGTAACACACACACACATACACCATAGCATCCTCAACCTCTCATTGAGCTCTGTTTTTTTTTTTTTTTTGTTAATATTCCTTGGAGACTGTTCCCTATAAGTGCACATAGATCTGGCTCTTCTATTTAATAGCTGCTTGGCATTCCAGTTGCATGGCTATACTATAATTTTTAACCAGTCCAGTCTTCTGCCAGTGAACAATGCTGCAGAGAATACCCCTATACGTATAGCTATGCACATACAGCCTCCCATCCCAGAAGTAAAAATGCTGGATAAACGTATATGTGACTTAAAAATGTGACAGCTGTTACCCATTTGTTGTCATAGCACACTGGAGCGCTTGCTTCCCTACATCCTTGCCAAAACACAGTGTGTGAACACCTCCTGGTCTTAACCACTTTGTTTTCTTTTAAATTGGCATTTCTATTATTATCATGGAGACACAGCATCTTTCCAAGTATATAAAATGTCATTCAAAAAAATCTGCCTGTGAACTGTGTGGTCATGACCACTTTTTTCTTGGCTTGTTGGTCTTTTCCTTATTGGGAAGGGATATTTGTTTAAGGCTCCTCTGGAGAATCTGATGACTAGTCAGTTTCAGAGCAGGTGTGAAGTCTTTACGGCACCCAGTGCCCACATTTTCCAGCTGAGGAAAGCCCTGCCTAAGGCAGCTGGTGGCAGCTCAAATTGCCCAAAATAACAACAGACTATTAGAGCAACGTCTTACTTGTGTAAAAATAAGTCACAACTTCAAATAAATTCCACATTTATTATCTCATCTAGTTACTACCACAACACAGTGAGGTGGGTGTGGCTTGTGATATTCTTTTCATTTTACAACTGTGACCTTTTGGGAAATGAATGCTCCATTATCCTACTCACCCCGGGAAGACCAAGACTGTGGGGAACCATAACAATGATGATAGCTAATATTTGATGAGTGCTTACTGTGTGCTGAACACTTCTCTAAGCATTTGATGTATATTAAACCAAGGAATCCTCACAATCACTCCCTGAGATAGTATGGAAGACATCTGTGCTGTTCAAGTACTTCCGGTTCTTCTAGAATTGAATTTTGCCCCTTGGAGTGAGGTATGGTCACAGGGCTTGTTTTGACTGATAAAGTGCAAGCAGAAGAGATGTAGGTCACTACCCTGGAAAGCTTTAGCAGCTTCATGGTGAAGGACAGGATTCACTGTGCTCTCAGCCATGGAAACCAGCAGTTTTCAGAGAGCAGCTGTTTCACCAGTCTAGGTCCTGCAGTGGGGATGGTGCAGAGCTGAGCCCTCGTCACCCCATAGTAGACATGTAGTGTAAACATAGAACTGTGCATTTGTGTGTGCCCAGCCATTGAGATTTTGGAGTTGTTTATTACTGGAGCACAACCTAGTCTATACTGACTGATAGAAATAGGTATTAGCATGGGTATATCCATTACAGAGAATAGAAATGAGGTGTGCAAGATGAGGTGGCTTTCCAAGGTCACAGAAGGACCAGGAGCAAATCCCATCACTCAGCCTAGGAACTTGTACTCTTAAACACCTGGTTCTACTGACTGCTTAGTCACTGTGCACCTAATACTGCCAGAAAAATGCTAATAGCTAACACTTGATGAATGCTATGTGTCAGCCCCCAAAATGTTTCCTGGATGAATGAGTGAATGAGTAATTGAATTGATGATCGAATGTAAGAACTCCAGATGAAGCTCCAGCTGGGGTATAGCAATGGCAACCAGGCCCATTTCTGGAACTGGGGCCTGAGCAGTGGCCAACATACAGGATGATCAATCTTTACTCTGTAGTTACACCTTTTATTGCTGCTATTTTTGTTTCCCAAAACCTCCCAGATGATTCCTGTTTTTAGGGTCTTCAAAATGTAGTCAGATCCAATTTCAAGTTTTGGCTTCTCACAATGTGAGCTTGAAAAGTTATTTACAGCCTCTCCAAATATCAATTTCCTCAACTTAAATGGAGTTGATAATAATAATGCTCACTCACAGGGTTGTCATGGGGATTAAATGAGGTAATGCACAGTCCCTGGATTATCAAACATACCTGTTATTATAATACTAATATTAGCGGTCAATATTTGCTGCTAATGAAAATGCAGGGAAATGCCACATTCTGTTGCTAAGGCTCAGATCCCATGACTCTCTTCCCCTCCCACCCCAGGCAGGCAGGGACATACCAGCAGTTGGGCAAGTTGAGGGTGATGCTGGCCTGGGTGTCTGACCCAAACTTCATGTAGCCCAGTGTCCCCAGGCAGATGTAGAGGATGATGACAAGGGACATCCCCAAGTACAGAACAAATGAAAACTGCTGTGGATGCTTCATCTGGTTTTTGAGAGGCAGAACCTGGAGGTGAAAGAAGGTTGAGAAAGAAAAGGTAGAAAGGGATATGGCAGCTTGTGAAGGGGCAGGTTCCCCCCGAGCACAGACATCCTTCCCAGGTGGCCCAAGGTCTGGAACGGTCACCCCCTTCCATTTTCTTTTTTTTTCTTCTTTTGTTATCATTAAACTACAATTACATGAAGAGCATTATGTTCACCAAGTCCCCCCCACATACCCCATTACAGTCACTGTCCATCAGCGTAGTAAGATGCTGTAGAATCACTATTTGTCTTCTCTGTGTTGTACAGCCCTCCCCATGCACCCCCCACATTATACATGCTAATCATAAGGCCCCCTTTCTTTTTCCCTGCCCTTATCCCTCCCTTCCCACCCCTTCTGCCCAGTCCCTTTCCCTTTGGTAACCGTTAGTCCGTTCTTGGGTTCTGTGATTCTGCTGCTGTTTTGTTCCTTCAGTTTTTCTTTGTTCTTATACTCCACATATGAGTGAAATCATTTGGTACTTGTCTTTCTCTGCCTGGCTTATTTCACTGAGCATAATACCCTCTAGCTCCATCCATGTTGTTGCAAATAGTAGGATTTGTTTTCTTCTTATGGCTGAATAATATTCCATTGTGTATATGTACCACATCTTTATCTACTGATGGACACTTAGGTTGCTTACATTTCTTGGCTATTGTAAACAGTGCTATGATAAACATAGGGGTGCATCTGTCTTTTTCATATTGGGCTGCAGCATTCTTATGGTAAATTCCTAGAAGTGGGATTCCTGGGTCAAATGGTATTTCTATTTTGAGCTTTTTGAGGAACCTTCATACTGCTTTCCACAATGGCTGAACTAATTTACATTCTCACCAGCAGTAGGAGGGTTCCCCTTTCTCCATAACCATGCCAACATTTGTTGTTGTTTGTCTTTTGGATAGTGGCAATCCTTACTGGTGTGAGGTGATATCTCACTGTGGTTTTAATTTGCATTTCTCTGATGACTAGCAATGTGGAGCATCTTTTCATGCATCTGTTGGCCATCTGAATTTCTTCTTTGGAGAACTGTCTGTTCAGCTCCTCTGTCCATTTTTTAATTGGATTGTTTGCTTTTTGTTTGTTGAGGTGCATGAGCTCTTTATATATTTTGGATGTCAACCCTTTATCATATCTGTCATTTATGAATA